TGCTTTTTCTGCGGTAGACCAGTTGCCATCCAAGGCTATAGAACCCGGCCTGTCCTGCTATTTTACCCATAGCTTGAGGGAAGAAGAGGATTCATACCTACTACTCAGGAAAAATAGTCGATCAGACTAGCTCGTTAACCATTACCCCATTCAGATGCCTTCTTCTTCTTCTTCTTCTTCTTGTTTACTTTGCTTAGCTTAGTTTTGGCAGCCAGTAAGAATCGAACTCACTACTCATGTAAAAATAGTCAACCAGACTTCTTACTATCTTCTTCTTCTTCTTCATCTTCTTCTTCTACAACAACAACAAGGTCTAATTTTCTCTCAAACACTTTCTAATATCGAATCATTTTATAGTCATTGTATGAATGTAAAAAAAAAAGAGGATTTCCCATTAGTAAAGCGATTATGATGAAATTCTTCCAAATTTTATTTTTAGTATTTTTTAATATTATATTTATTTCTATTTATTTTTTTTATTTTTTTGCGTTATCGTTATAAATCACTGTGGTGACAATTATGTAAAACTCTGAATGGCAAACTCTATTGCAAATATTTCGACCAGAAAATTTAGAATATTGATTATAATTCCTCTAAAGAATTTGTGACAAGTGACTTTAACAAATGAAATAATTTTTGCTACTTCTTGAGCGTGTATCTACAAGCATTTATGGAAAAGAGAACAAAGTGTAACACATTTCAAAAATAGATTTAATATCAAACCAGAATTTATTTGTCTGTGAAACAACAACAACAAAATAACAAACATACCGAAAAATCTTATCATTAAGCCGCTTTTATGTTTCTCTGTTAAGAAATTTAATCTTCTGCGAGAGGTGCTAAACAAAATTCTTGGCCCAACCCACTTTCCAGAATCTAACCAAATAGAATATTTTTTAAAAGGTTTCTTCGTCGAGCTGAGCACTTTTCAAATCCCCACATAGAAAAAAAAGATAATATTTTGGTCGTAGTTTCATAAACTAATTACAAGCAAAATACAATTGCTTCAAACAGAAATGATATAACGATTTAGTAAGCGTAGCTTACTTATGGCATAGGATCGACAATATGAAGCGCCCAGTGAGAATTGAACTCACTACTCAGTCGCAGTTGATCTAGTGAGACAAGCTTGTTAACCATTGCACCATATAGAAGTAAAATCCTTGTATACAGTTATTATTAATACTTTTCTTTGCAAGTTAAAAAGGGTGAAATAATGAGTATTTTCCTAGTTTCATATTCTAAAAAGTACAGAGGAAATAAGACATTAGCGATTTTCCTAAATAAATACAGAAAAATTAAAAAGCTATTTACTAATCGCTTTTTTTTAATTTAAGATTTACTATTTAATTGCTTAGATGTGGCACAAGGCCGTATGTACAGAGCATCCATTAAGGATTGGACATACTCGTACTTGACCTACGTCAAAGTACCCATAGGGATTTGCTAAGTATAACTTAAAATGTGTTACAAGGATGCAAGTACGGAGATTTCAGTGAGATTGACCTCACTAAAAGCTCCATATTTGCAGCCTTGTGCCATTACTCAGTCGTAATTGATTTAGCTAACCATTACCCCACGTCGAAGTGCCCATGTTTTTCTAAGTGTAGCTTAGACGTGGCACAAGGCCCAAATTGTGGTGCAGCCAGTGAGGATCGAACTCACTACTCAGTATTAATTGATCTAACGAGACAAGTTTGCACACCACGTCCAAGCGCTCATAATTTTGTAAGCGTAGCTCATATATGGCACAAGACCGAATGTATGGAGCACCCAGTCGTAATTGATCTAGCGAGACAAGCTTGATAACCATTACACTACCTCCAAAGCCCATCATGACGATTATATTTAGGCTATGAAATATAATAAAAGCCGTGTGCTAGAGATTTGAGATTGATGTTGCCTAACCTGTGCGTGTAAAAATACTGCAATCATCTTCTCCGGTGATATTGTGAAATTCTTGAAAATGTAAAAACAATCTACGATTTAATTTCAGTTTTCTCATCATATACAAATTTAAAATAACGGACATTTTTATAATGTTTGGAAAACGAGAATTAGTAAAAGAAAAACGTAACCAAGGAAACATTTATTTATACAATACCATATGAAAACGTGATAATATGCATAAGAGAAACATTCTTCTTTATGTGCTGTGTCCCCTGAGGATGTTGGCGACCATAGCTCTCCACAATTTCCTGTTCTTCATAGCTCTTAAAAAATTGTCTTCTCTTAAACCTTGTTCCGTTATCCATTTACTCAAGCTCATTATAGGTTATACTCACTCCTGTGAGTATCAAATTTTCCAAACTCTCTTTCCTCCTTATATACCCTCGAAATCTCAACTATCTCTTCCTGATGTTAAGTATATGTTTCCTTTTTGTTTCCATTGTGTCTAGAACTTCGTCATTACCCAAATGTTCGGTTCATGATATCCTCAGCATCCTTCTGTAGAATCCCAGTTTTGTTGCTTTACGTCTTTTCTTCATCTGTGAGGAGATTGTCCAACATTCACTGCCATAGAAAGTTTGAGTGTTGTCAATAATTGTAATAAGAGTAGGCTGCTTGCTGAGAAACAGAAGATTTTTCCAAAGCTATACTTGACTGATGGTGATAACAATCAGATAGGCCAAAACTATTACATTCCAACACCAGTCACATAAACATAATCCAAGTATAAAATGCAGGCATGAAGTTATTAAAATATTTACATAATATACTATCGTTCTAATCTTTGTTGTTGTTATGTTTTTAGAATAATATTCACCCAGTATACGGCCCAAGAGCCACTCCAGGTAGAGGTTACAGACAAGGTAACCTTCAGGCAATTTCGAAATCAACACTTTATTTAATCTATGGGAGTAAACTGTTCTCGCCCCACTGGTCATGCCTTTTTGTCTGGGATAATGAGCTATCATTATTTACATTAGCACTATTTTCCTTATCTTTGTTGTTGTTATCGCAACGTTTCAGTGATTAGACAAAAGATTATTAAAACAGGATTTCGTACTTAATCAATCGCATCATTTCCTGATGTTCACACTTCTTATAAACTTGAGATCATTTAAATTTTTATGGCATAAAAATTCTAATTGACTCAGATTTAAATCTGGCTAGCCATAGCACAAATCATCTTTCCTCTATTAAAAACGTAATTTATGTGTCCTAAATTTTATATGATTTGTGCGTTGTATGCCTTATAGAGTCACAGAATCGGCTTTTCTCTATTAAAAGCATTATTTATGTATCTTAAATTTTAGACGATTTGTGTGTGTTGTGTGTCTCATAGCTCAATCATATTTCAATATTAAAAATATATATTGTATCCTAAATTGTACAGCATTTATATATCTGTTGTATGATTTATCGCTCAACAGAATCATATTTTCTCTATTAAAAACGTAATTAATGTATCCTAAATTTAACATGATTTGTGTATTGTATGCCTTATAGAGTCACAGAATCATTTTATATATTAAAAACATAATTTATGCATCCCATATTTAACACGATTTGTGCGTTGTATGCGTTATCGCTCAACAAAATTATATTTTATCTTTCTCTATTAAAAATTATTTCTCTATAAAAAACATAATTTATATATCCTAAATGTTACCTGATTTGTGGGATTATGCCTTATCGCTCAACAAAATTACATTTTATCTATTAAAAAGATGATTTATGTATCCTAAATTTCATATGATTTGTGTGTGTGTTGTATGTCTTATTGCCCAACAGGATCATATTTCAATATTAAGAAACATAATTAATTGATATTAAATTGTATCGGATTTGTATGCCTTGTACTTCAACAGAATCATCTTTTCGCTATTAAAAACGTAAGTAATATATCCTAAATTTTAGAGGAATTGTGTATGTCTTACAGCTCAACAGAATCTTATTTCGATATTAAAAAACACAATTAATGTATTCTAAATTGTGAGTTTGCATGTGTTTTGTATGACACATAGCTTATTTTCACTATTAAAATTATTATTTATGTATACTAAATTTTAGATGATTTTTGTGTCTTGTATGTGTTATATCTAAAGAGAACCATATTTCAATATTAAAAAACATAATGTATACTACACAGTATTGGATTTGTATGCGTGCTGTGAGCCTTATAAACTGAACAGAAGCATCTTTTCTCTATTAAAGACATAATTTACGTATCCTAAATTTTATATTTGTGTGTGTTACATGACATCGCTCAACAGGATCATCTTTTCTCTATTAAAACATAAATTATATATCCAAAATATAACATGATTTGTGCATTGTCGCTCAACAGAATCACCTTTTCACTAGTAAAAACATAATTTATCTATCCTAAATTTTACCTGATTTGTGCGTGTGTGTGCTTTATGACATCGCTCAAGAGAATCATCTTTTCCCTTTTAAAAACGTAATTTATATATCCTAAATTTTACATGATTCGTATGTTGTATGCTTTATAACTCAACAGAATCAACTTTTCTCTATTAAAAACGTAATTTATGTATCCTAAATTTTACATGCCTTGTTGTATGCTATATAGCTCAAGAGAATCGTGTTTTTTCTGTTAAATAACGTAATTTATGTATTCTAAATTTTACATATGTGTGCTGTATGCATTATACCTCAACAAAATTAATTTTTCTCTATTAAAAACGTAATATATCGTCTTGTGAACTACAGATGATTTATCCATTGCTTACACGATACTCAGTAATAAATCCTTTTGTCCAACATTGTTTCGCTCTTAGAATCAGCGATTGTATTAAATCATGCTCGAGTGTAGATAATTGATAAGTAGCATCACTAATCCAACTTTATCGATTTCTTGAGTAAATCTTTAAGTACAATTTGACCACAGTACATTTTAAAATATTATGTTGTGTCATAAATACAACATTTTTCCTCAAAAAATAAAGTACAATTATATTTTATCCAGTTTTGAAGGGAAAGGGTGTTCGACGAACGGTTGAATTTGGTTTTCGCTAGATTGATCCCTAAAATTGGAATTACTTCGGACTCAAACTAATCTATCTATCTATCTATCTATCTATCTATCTATCTATCTATCTATCTATTATATGTTACTGTATTCGATTTAACTGCCACGTATGATTAGTAATTAGGATGATACATTCATCATTACATTTGGTTCCCAAAAACGCAAATTACGTAGACGAAAGCAAACTAATGAACAATTTCATTTTAACGGTAAATATTGATAAGGAATGGAGAATTTCGTTAGAATCGAAAATATATTTGACTAGGTAATCACTGGATATATTATTCCAGATTTACAGAAATAACCATGGAATGCCTCCGTTTTATAATAATTATTATATTTACATATATGTATTACTTCAAACGTCATTAATGAATACTCGTATTTCAAATAGATGCCCTATTTTTTTTTACTTGAAACAATGTGTATTACGGCCAACACACTCAAAAAATCTCAATAAAGAAAATGACATGTGCTAAAGAGCAGATTTTGTATTTTGAGATTTCTTCAGTGTGCAGGCCGATAGACATAATACAATCTGTTTCAACCCAAAATAACATGGGGAGTCTATTTCAAATACGAGTATCCATTAAATAATAACATTTGAAGTAATAGTATGTCGGATTAAATATAAAATACATTAATTCTTTTTATATTATATATATATATATATATATATATATATATATATATATATATATATATATATAAAGAGAGAGAGAGAGAGAGAAAATTAAGAACAAATATGTCGGGTTTAAAAAGTAAAGTTCATTAATTTAATATATATTATATATATATATATATATATATATATATATATATATATATATATATATAAAGAATTGATGGATTTTATTTTTCCATTCGACATTTCATTAATTCTTTAGAAATTGCTCTGCTTATGTTTCGAGTACATAACAGAAAATATATGTCGTTCGAGTAAGTCTGAACAAGTGAGTGTGCTTTAAGGAAAACAGAACCTTGCTAAACTGTCAAAGGACACGGGGGAACACAGGTTCGAATCCTACCGGGAGGCACATTTTCTTTCTTAAGTTTTCTCGAGTGTGCAGGCCAGTAAACGAAATGAACAATGTTAAAAAAAACAAAAAAACAAAAAAAAAACAGACAGAACTATTCAAATACACGTAAAAACAACAATAAATATATATACAGTGTAACCCGGGTATAAGAGACCCGTATATAAGAGAGATTTACTCTGGTCCCAAATTAGAGCCTGCGTTAATGTATATATAATAGATCAAACCCGGATATAAGAGAAACCCGGATATAAGATACTTCTTCTCCGGTCCCGACAACTCTCTTATATCCGGGTTACACTGTATATATATATATATATATATATATATATATTACATTATGGGCAAGAGGTAGTGACATTTTTTGCACAACTTCCAGTCAAATTCAACTTTGTTCACTTTTCATGTCAAAGAAAAAAATATTTTCTTGAACGAAAGGCATTGATGTATTTGCTGTTAAATGTGAAAGCATTTTCAGTGCGTAGTTGTCTTATTTTTCTCCGTAAATAAAAAAAAAAAAAAGGTGTGAAGCAAATGGACTTACCCAACACGAGTTAACAAGTTAAGAATTAAATTTGTTTAATATTAAGAATCTAGGACTTTGCGAAGCAGAGAATAAAATAGCGTTCTCCCAAGTAGTTACAATCATTATCGTAGTCACATATCGATATGCTATTTTTATTACTTTACAATGAGAATTTTAGTAGAAATGGAGCATTAGTGTGTACAAAAAGACATTTTCATTTCATCAGGTATGGTGATGCCAAGAAGACATAACTGCTTTATTTGCCAATTTTTTTCTAACTAGACTTTCTGTCTAAATTTTTGGTATGAGAGGTCATTATTTACATTATTAATATTAACAGAAAGTGTGTCATCAGCATGCAGTATGTTTAGGATTGTAAACTCGGGATTGTCCTATTTATGTCAGCTGCTAAGAAATCTGGTTCATTGTGTCGTTTGAAACAATTTTCTCTCTGCAATCTATGATTAGAATATTCTACCACATATGGTCCGGTGTCCCTGCTATCTAGCTTGAGCTTCTTAATAAAATCCAAAGAAGAATCATCAGTATTTTGATCCTTATCTGCCGGCTCGGCTTCAGTCACTTTCCCACCGCCTTAAGGTCGACTCTGTGTCTTTTGTGGTAATTATTCGGATGAGCTCTTCGTTATGGTAGCTAGACTTTTTGAATTTAAGAGCAATACTAAACCGACATCGAGATCGCATTACCGTATTTGACGGTATATAAGACGCATGGGTGTATAAGACGCCCGGGTATATAAGACGCACCCCCAATTTCAGCAGGGCAAATCAAGAAAAAATTAGTAATTAGTAAAATTGGTAAACCTACTTATGGCATATAAGACGCAGGGGAATTTTAAAAAATATTTTTAGTAAACAAAAAGTGCACCTTATATGCCAAATACGGTAATTTACACTTGAGCTGACTAGATGTATCCGTAAGTTCTATGCTAACAGTTTCTTTTCTCGCACTTCTCGATTGCGAAACTCTCTTCCGGTTCCATGCTTTCCAGCCAGCTTTAATCTTCAAAAATTTAAATGCAATGTCAATCGCTATCTACTGTCTTCCTGATTGCTCTTTCCTCTTCCCGCTCATTATTAATGTTTCTGTTCCTAATTCTTACACACCGTGTAACCTCTTGTGTCTTAGTGACTTTACTGCTTTGCATGGGGTGATAATTTTTTTTTAAATTCCAGTGCATTAAAGCGTTAGCACGTGAATTTGATTACATCGTGAATGCAATCCTTGAGACTGGCACTCTAGACTGGCGCTCTAGACTGGTACTCTAGACTGGTACTCTAGACTGGCACTCTAGACTGGTACTCTAGACTTAGCCTCTGTGGAAAGAGGACGAGCAATAAATAACTGTAATAAATAAGAACAAAACGAGATATCTTGCGCTTTGGTCAACGGAACAAGAACATTCTATGCCCGTAGTGTTCCGTTTTAAATTTCCTGAAGGCTACCAAAGTCAGCAGACACCTGAAGAAGACCGGAGAGCACAATGGTTGAAACATTGTAATAATAACAACAAATATGAGGACGGTAATCCAAATCTAACTGAGGATTATCCGTCGCTTGTTTTCCTTTTCCTGAAAGAACTGAAAGGCATAAACGCGACACGGTTATGCAATTATTAATAATGTGATGAATTAATAACGGCTAGTGATAGGATTGCCATATTAAGCTAACAAGTAATGAATATGACTATATTTGAAAGCCCAGCGATACTAAATTTTGAATAGATTTCCTTCTCAATAGTAGCCTACAAACCTACTAAAATGCAAAATCTATCTATCTATCTATCTATCTATCTATCTATCTATCTATCAATCTATTTCAAACTTAGCTCAATATGGCAACCCCGTCTTCTTCTATGTGTCATGTCCCTTCAGGGCTTTGGTGATCATGGCTAACCAGAATTTTCTGTCTTTTGTAGCTCTTAACACCTTGTCTTTTTGCCATCTCTCCTATACCATGTTCCGCCATGCACTCACTCAAGCTTATCAGATAGGTTATTCGCTGTTTCCTCTGTCTCTCTTTAATTTGTCTTGTGAGTACAAAAATTTCCAAGCCCTCTTTCCTTATTATGTGTCACAGAAAATCATACTGACTCTTCTTGATGTTATGCATAAGTTTCCTTTTTGTTACCGTTGTCTCTAGAACCTTGTTGTTGTTCACATGGTCGTCTTTCTGTAGAACCATATTTTTTTGCTTCAAGTCTCTTCTTCATCTGTGAAGAGATTGTGCAGAAGTCACTATTACATAAGAGGATTTATATTACATAACAGTTCATTATTCTTTGTTTCTAACGATTTTTGTATCTGTTTCTTAATGCTCTGCTTCGTACTGGTTAACCCAATGAGCCTTCGTTAAAACACTTCCCAGATATTTACATTGTTGTACTTGTTTGATTTTGGTATCTTCAATTTCTAAATTTACATGTTGGGCTGTCCCTTTTGCTGACAACCATGCATTCTATCTTCCTGCAATTGATGTTTAGTCCTTTCTTCTTGCTTTCTGTTGTGGCCTTGTTAGGGCCAGAAATAAAAACACAAAGAGAGTTAAACAAATATTTTAACAGAAACAGCAATACAAACATATACAAACGAGTGTTACAGCAAGAATGTTCGGTCCGATTCTCAGAGATAACTGCTGGAAACTTCACCCTCCAAAAGGCAGTACCTGCTCCTAATTATAGTACATGCGTGCGTGGATAAATTAACATAGCACTTTCCTTCCGTAAGAGTTCTTGTAGTTTCCTTTCTGTGTTTACTATCAACACTATGTCATCTGCATATCCTATTTTGTTAAGAATGTGAACGTCAATAATGAATTTCTAATTTTCTAAGAATCGCCTCACTGATTACTTATTCTACTTATACAGTGGGGCGATTCTGAGATAAAGCCATAAGTTAAAAATTCAGTAACATTAGAAAGTCAAGTGTTATTAAAATCTAAATTGACTTTTTTTCTTATAAGCACCCCAAGTAAGGACACCAAATATATGACAAGTTATAGAGAAATTAAAGATTTAACAGCTCTTGTCTTTCTAAAGCCCAATTTGTAAATCCAGACAAGTGATAGTCACGACGAAAGAATTATAACAGAAAATTCAGCGGCGACTTGAGGCAAAGGCGATGTGATTGTACAGCAGGATACTGAGAATGTCATAGACAAAGCATGTAATCAACGAGGAAGTTTTAAGGAAAATGGAAAAAAGGTGACAATTCTACTGAGAATCGGAAGGAGGCAGTTTAAATTTCCAGGTCATATAATGAGGAAAGAAGGATTAGAAAATTTGACACTCACAGGACATATTGAATGCAAGAGAGACAAAGGGAAACAACTAGTAACTTTGCTAACTAACTTGTGCGGATGGGTGGCAGAACAGGGAATGGGAGGGATACTCAAAAGACAAGTGTTGATAATAGATAA